AGGAAGGGATGCTTGATATGATTTAAATTTTCTTGCATTTATTGAGGCTTGCTTTGTGGCCTAACACATTATCTATCCTAGAGAATGTTCTGTGTGCACTTAAGAAGAATGTATATTCTGCTGTTTTTAGATGGAATGTTCCATATATATCTATTAAGTCCATCTCATCTTAAATATGTCACTTAAGGCTTATGTTTCCTTATTGATTTTCAATCTTGATGACCCATGTAAGCCAGATGTTAAAGTCCTCTACTATTATTGTATTGCTGTCTATTTATCCATTTAGGTCTGTTATTATCTACTTTATATATTCTGGTGCTCCTATGTTAGGTGCATATATATTTATAAATGTTATATTTTCTTGCTGGATTGACTACTTTATCATTATGTATTGCCTTTGTCTTTAATTACACTCTCTGTTTTAAAGTCTATTTTGTTTGATATATGTATAGCTCCACCAGCTTTTTGTTTCCATTTTCAAGGAACATCTTTTTCCATTCCTTTGCTTTCAGTCTATATGTGTCCTTACATCTGAAATGAGTCTCTAATAGGCTGTATATAGATATTTCAGGAATTCAGTTTGAACATGTTAAGTTTGAGATGTCCAATTGGACATGTAAATGGACAAATTCAGTAGGCAACTAGACATAAAGGTCTGCAGTTCAGAGAAGTAGTTCAGGATGCAGTTATAAATTTGAGAGTCTTGGGGCGCCTGGGTGGCTCAGTCGGTTGAGCGACTGCCTTCGGCTCAGGTCATGATCCCGAAGTCCCGGGATCGAGTCCCGCATCGGGCTCCCTGCTCGGCAGGGAGTCTGCTTCTCCCTCTGACCCTCCCCCCTCTCATGTGCTCTCTCTCTCTCATTCTCTGTCAAATAATAAATAAAATCTTAAAAAAAAAAAATTTGAGAGTCTTAGCACAGAGATGGCATTTAATGCAATGAAGCTGGATGGGACCATCTAATGAGCAAATCTAGATAAGAAAGAACACATCATGGTCTAGGCTCTGAGTAACTCCCATATGTAGAATTCAGGGAGATCAGGAGAGACCAGCAAAATCAACTCGGAAGTTGCAGACAAAAAGGCAGAAAATAAACCAGGCATGTATGTCTACCCTGAAAGTCAGGGTTTTAAGGAAAGTGTCATCAACTGTGACAAATAAAGATGATAGGTCAAGTAAGATTAAGACAGATAATGTCCATTAGATCCAGCAACAAGGAGGTCACTGGAGAGAGAGTTTAAGGATAGTTTTAGTTGCAGTGAAGGCAAATAACTTTGGAATGGGTTCAAGAGAACCAGAGGAGAGAAACTAGAGATGGTGGGTAAAGATAAACCTTTGAGAAATAGGATGACAGCTGAAAAGAAAAATCGGACTATGGAATCATCTTATTTTGTTTGTTTTGTTTTGTTTGAAGATGAGAGAACAGCATGTTTATATATTGATGAGAATAATCCCATAATAAAAGAAGAATTACTGGAGTAGTATTTTAAGAGAGAGAAGAGATGGACTTTAACACACAGGTGGAAGAAATAACCTTGGCTAGATCATCTACTGTAATTGAGGAGAAGCTGGAGTTTTGGGAGCAGATGCAGGTTAAGGGAGCTAATGTATTGGTAGGGAATTAGGAAGTTCTTTTCCAGTTACTTCAAATTTTTTGGTGAAGTACAAAACTAGACTATCAGCTGTGAGGATGAATAAGAAGGAATAATGAGAAAAAAGAAAATATGAAATAGTTGCCTAGGAGTCAATTAAATTATGCAAAAGGTTAAGACAATCACACACTTTTTCTGGCAGAAAACAAGAATAAACTTGATATCTAAATTTTTCCCCATATCATATGCCAATGGTATGTTCCACCATCAAGTTAGGTTTAGCTCCAATTCCTATGCCTTCTATGTCTGTGGTTAAATAGCTGATACGTGCATTCATAGCCCTCAGGTACTATGATATTCTTAAATTTCAAAAATCAAATGATATTCAGTACTCTGTGTTTAATGAGGCAGGAAAATATGTAACAATTTAGATTTATGTAAGTTTGAGATCAACTTCAGGATACTAAAAAAAAGGCTAAATACATAATTAAACACCCCACTTTCCCAGACAAAGGAAACCTGTTGATAGTGTGCTTATACAAAGTATCAAACAATATATCCTCTGGGCAGAATGGTGTGATTCTTTTACTCCATAAGTAAGTTACACTTATCACCTGACCATACTGTTATGATGAATCTGTATTACAACTATTCAGACCAAGAAATAAGAAAATGCAAAAGAATCTCCACAGTTTCAAAATATAGAAATGGAAGGAAAACTTCCAAACTTGTTCTATGAGGCCAGCATTACCTTGATCCCAAAACCAGACAAAGACCAATATCCCTGACGAAGATGGATGCCAAAATTCTCACCAAGATACTAGCCAACAGGATCCAATAGTACATTAAAAGGATTACTCACTGACCAAGTGAGACTTATTCCTGGGCTGCCAGGATGGTTCAACACTCGCAAATCAATCAACATGATACATCACATTAATAAAAGAAAGGACAAGAACCATATGATCCTCTCAACTGATCCAGAAAACGCATTTGACAAAATACAGCAACCTTTCTTGATTAAAACTCTTCACAGTGTAGGGATAGAGGGAACATACCTCAATATCATAAAAGTTACTACAAAAAACCCCCAGAGAATATCATTCTCAACAGGGAAAAAGTGAGAGCTTTTCCCCTAAGATCAGGAACACGACTGGATGCCCATTCTGACCACTTGTTAATGCAAGCTGGTACAGCCACTCTGGAAAACAGTATGGAGGTTCCTCAGCAATCAGACAACAAAAAGAAATAAAAGGAATTCAAATTGGCAAAGAAGAAGTCAAGTTCTCACTCTTTGCAGATGATATGATACTTTATGTGGAAAACCCAAAAGACTCTACCCCAAAAGTGCCAGAACTCATACAGCAATTCAGCAACATGGCAGGATACAAAATCAAAGCACAGAAATCAGTAGCATTTCCATACACTAACAATGAGACCGTAAGAAAGAGAAATTAAGGAATAGATCCCACTAACAATTGCACCAAAAACCATTAGATACCTAGGAATAAACCTAACCAAAGAGGTAAAGGATCTGTACTCTGGAAACTACAGAACACGTATGAAAGAAATTGAGGAAGACACAAACAAATGGAAAACCATTACATGCTCATGGATTGGAAGAACAAATATCATTAAAATGTCTATACTACCCAGAGCAATCTACACATTCAATGAAATCCCTATCAAAATACCATCAACATTTTTCACAGAGCTAGAACAAATAATCCTAAAATTTGTATGGAACCAAAAAAGACCCTGAATAGCCAGGGGATTGTTGAAAAAAAAAAAAAAAAAAGCAAAGCTAGTGGCATCACAATGCCTGATTTCAAGCTCTATTACAAAGTTGTAATCAAGATAGTATTGGACTGACATAAAAATGGACACATAGACCAGTGGAACAGAAGAGACAACCCAGAAATGGACCCTCAACTCTGTGGTCAACTAATCTTTGACAAAGCAGGAAAGAATATCCAATGGAAAAAAGATAATCTCTCTTCAATAAATGGCACTGGGAAAATTGGACAGCCACGTGCAGAAGAATGAAACTGGACCATTCTCTTACACCATACACAAAGATAAACTCAAAATGGATGAAAAACCTCAACAAAAGACAGAAATCCATCAAAATCCTAGAGGAGAACACAGGCAGCAACCTCTTTGACCTCGGCCACAGCAACATCTGTCTCCAATGGCAAGGGAAACAAAAGCAAACATGAACAACTGGGACTTCATCAAGATCAAAAGCTTCTGCACAGCAAAGGAAACAGTCAACAAGCCTAAAAGGCAACCTACAAAATGGGAGAAGATATTTACAAATGACGTATCAAATAAAGGGCTAGTATCCAATATCTCTAAAAAACTTATCAAACTCAACACCCAAAAAACAATCCAATTGAGGAATGGGTAGAAGACACGAACAGGCATTTCTCCAAAGAAGACATACAAATGGCCAATAGACACACGAACAAATGCTCCACAACACTTGGCATCAGGGAAATACAAATCAAAACCCCAATGAGATACCACCTCACACCAGTCAGAATGGCTAAAATTAACAACTCAGGAAACAACAGCCATGGTGAGGATGTGGAGAAAGGGGAACCCTCTTACAGTGTTGGTGGGAATGCAAGCTGGTACAGTCACTCTGGAAAACAGTGTGGAGGTTCTTCGAGAAGTTAAAAATAGAGCTACCCTACGACCCAGCAATTACACTACTGGGTATTTACCCAAAAGATACAAATGTAGTGATCCGAAGGGGCACCCGCACCCCAATGGTTATAGCAGCAATGTTCACAATAGCCAAACTGTGGAAAGAGCCTAGATGTCCATCAACAGATGAATGGATAAAGATGTGGTGTATATATACAATGGACTATTACTGAGCCATCAGAAAGGATGAATACTTACCATTCAGTCTGACATGGATGGAATTGGAGGGTATTATGCTAAGTGAAATAAGTCAATCAGAGAAAGACAATTATCATATGGTTTCACTCATAGGTAGAATATAAGAAACAGTGCAGAGGACCATAGGGAAAGGGAGGAAAAACAGAATGGGAAGTCATCAAAGAGGGAGAAAAACCATGAGAGACTCTTAACTATAGGGAACAAATTGAGGGTTGCTGGAGGGGAGGTGGGTGGTGGAATGGGGTAATTGGTGATGGGCATTAAGGAGGGGACATGATGTGATGAGCATTGGGTGTTATATGCAACTGATGAATTACTGAATACTACATCTGAAACTAATGATGTACTATATGTTGGCTAATTAAATTTAAAGGAAAAAAAAAAGATTCTCCACAGCACCTTTTCATCCAGGTCTGAACTACTGACAGCACTGTTAAGATGAATTCCTGCATTACCATGATTTAGACCAGGAAATAACAAAATACAAGATTCCCTAGTACCTCTTCATCCAAGTGTGAACTTTTTATGTGTTCACTGAAGTCTCCCAGCTTTTCACTTTCACAGGTCTCATTAGTAACTTCCCCTAAGGAAATGTTTTCACCTTTGGAATCATGTTTTAACTCATTTGCTGAAAAGAAATAATATTCAACTGTAGAAACTTTATACAGCAAAATAACTAAATCATTCAAAGATTGTTCTAAAAATGAGTTAGAATTCAGAGACTCTTTTAAAGTCCAATGTGACCAATGTGAAGTAGTTTTCAGCAAACTATACAATTATTCCTCCCTCTCTTTTAAAATAACTCCACTATACGATATAAAAAGAATTGGCACTAAGACATAATTGAGATATATCAAGATAAATGTAAAAATGTTTATGTCCAGCTACATTGAATATATTTTGAAAACTTGAAAATCAAAATACAATTAACTTTCAAAATATTTCCTGTGAAGTAAGGATCCAAGTATTTAAACTTATGATAAACTGTTAATTATAAAAAATTCTAATAAGGATTCAGATTTAAAATGTGATAAAGCTTAAACATATATTTCCATTTCAAAATAAGGCCACAAAAGTTTCTAAGGTCAATGATCTATCCTTCGTAGATAAAGCTAACAAAGTTATTTACTAACTAATCAAATGGAAAATTTCTCAAAATCTTATCTGCCAACCAAGCAATTAAAACTGAGGAAAACTGACAAACCATAAAACATATAGTTAACAGACTCTAAAATGAAGAGCTTCCTATTTAATGAATTAATTTTGACTAGGCCCAAATAGAGATATAAAAAGATACTTCAATACTGCATAATTTGAAAATGTCAAATTTTACCTGCTGATAAGGAAGCACAGATCTCTGACTTCATCATTCCAGGATCCAGTATAGGAAGTTTTCTATTATAAAGCAAACAGAGCTTGAACATTATAAAGGATTCTACACAGAACTATCTACTTCTCAACATTATATACTACCAGCATTAGTAGCTGGTGAATATCAGCTCAAGTCCTCCAAGGACAGAGTACTACACTGGAGCTCCGAAACCAGCATACCCAAGTAGATTCCTCATTTGGTTCTTTAATCACACACATATGCCACAATTGTTAGGGAGTGCTGCCATTCAAATGGTTACTCAGAGAGAACCTGATGACATATATCAAGCATTCAAAACAATTTTAAAGTATTACACCAATATAAGCTGACACTTAACTTCTATTCTGAAGTATGTGTATATGTATTTTACTGCCAATGTAAAAGGAAGATAGTTTGAGAACAGTTTGAATCCTTTTTTTGTAGTCTCTAAAGACAACATATGGTCTAAAGGTCAAGGGTACGGAAATCAGAGTTTAACCAAGTTGGCTTCAAATATTGTTCTGCCACTTAACTATGTCAACTATAGCAACATTATGTAATTTCTTTGAGTCTAACCATATCTGTAAAATGGGAATTATCACCTATCCATGAAGTTATTATGAGGATTAAATGAGATAAAATGTTTTTAAAGCCAATAGCATAGGGACACCTGGCTGGTTCAGTCGGTTAAGCGTCTGCCTTCAGCTCAAGTCATGATCCCAGGATCCTGGGATCAAGTCCCACACTGGGCTCCTTGCTCAGCAGGAAGCCTGCTTCTCCCTCTGCCAGCCTGCTTGTTCTCTCTCTCTCTCTCTCCTTCTGACAAATAAATAAAATCTAAAAACAAACAAAACAAAAGCCAGAAAAAAAAAAAACCCCAATAGCATAGGCTCAACAAATGAAAACTACATCTATAGGAACCACTTAAAAATAAATGGCCAAACAGTACTCCATTTTTTAAAAATTAGAAATATATAAAAGTACACTGAATATAATACAAAAAATACCCATAATACCCCATTTTTTTCATTTAATAAATTAGTTTTATTAAACCTATCCTACAGCTCTACGACTGCTCATTGGTTCAGGATTACTTCCTACCCATGAAAGAGAAAAACCAAATAAAACATTTTATATACATCATTCTTTATAAAGTCTTTGGAAAACATGAAGTATTTGCTCCCTGACATAAAACCTAGAAACAATCAGAAATACACAGTTTAAAGAATGAGAAAACAATAATACAAACAGAAGACCTGTAATATGCAAATCTCCTCCCCTAATTCTTTCCCTCTTCTGGATTCTATCTACTAAATATCTCCATTTTAGTATTTCTAAGATCTCTCCAACTCAACATGTCTAAATTTGACATAATGACCAGAACACATCCCCAATCTTGCCCCTTCATATCAGAGAATTATAATGCCTTTCTTTGAAATAAGAGAGAAACCAGGTATCATTCTTAACTCCTATCTCTGATTAATCAATCAGATTAATCAATCTTCATGTCCTAAATCTCTTTCAAATACACTCCCATTTCTGTTTGAAGTCATCATGTCCTTTGGCCTAATTATTACAATAGCTCCCTACCAATTTATTCTCCACACCAGAGCTATAATGATTTTTAAAATGGAAATCTGGTCTATTTAAAAGTCCTTTGGTGAATCCCTATAATTCTCTTAGGATAAAGTTCAAACTCACCATGACTTCTAGTTTATCTAGGATGGTCTGTTTATGCCTGTTGTCTTGGCATATCTTATTAAAAGCTCCTCATTTCACTCTCAAAAGTTTTGCAGTTCAGAAAATAAATTCTATGGTCATCCTATTTGAAAGGTCCTTAAGGACTGAGCTTTCTGCACATTTTGTAGCTTTATTTCTTGCCATATGAACCCTAAGCCTTGGGACGTTATTTCTGTTTCTCAGTTATGACATGCCTTTCTCTGTGGGCCTTTACATTGGCTAGTTCTTCTATGACAAAATTCTATTTATTTTTCTTCACCAACTGGCTAATTCCTACTAATCCTTTAGTGTTCATCTTAAATGTCATTTTGACCAGGAAGCCTGTAACATCTTGCACTTCTACTATCCTATTTGATTGTACTGGCTTAATTATCTGCCTCTCTTGGTGGATCAAAAGCTCAGTGAGGACAAGGCCCATGTGTGTCTAGTTGCTCTCCGTATACTTAGCACCTAACATCTTCCTGGCCCGACACTAGGGAGACTCAAATGAAGATGCCTCTCCTGTCTAAGAACTCACATACAGACAGACATAATATACTGAGATATGCGCCAAGAGAACTATTGGAACAAATTCCTAGAATAACAGCTCAGATGAGATTTGAAGGATAACTGAATAAAAAGAAAGGGATTTCCAGGTAAAGAAACATGCAGGGGCGCCTGTTATGCAGGGGTGCCTGGGTGGCTCAGTCAGTTAAGCGTCTGCCTTTGGCTCAGGTCATGATCCCAGGGGCCTGGGACTGAGCCCTGTATCTGGCTCCCTGCTCAGTAAGGAGTCTGCTTCTCCCTCTCCCCCTGCCCCGCACCCCCCACCCACTCATGCTCTCTCTCAAATAAATAAAAATCTTAAAAAAAAAAAACAAACATATGCAAAAGGATTCAACATGACATACTGTGAAAACAGTGAGCTGATTGTTGTGCTTATCTTTCATTAGCCTTTCACTCCCCTATCCTCCCCACTAAAATCATAATTGTCGAAGACAGAATGGATGCACTCCACTAAAGAGCCTTAAAAAGACATGCCAAGCAATTTAGACTCTATCCTCAGGTGGCTCAAAGCCACTGAAGCAATGTAGCAGTCACTGGCAGATCAATTTCTATTTCAGAATATCACTATGAAGGAGTATAAACTAAAAGAATTCAGGAAGATTAACCAGGAGTTCATTACAATAATCTAGGAGAACGATGAATTAAATAGTAGCAGTGAGAATTGAGAGGAAGGAAAAACTGTGGGAGATATTAAAGTAATAACATGAATATAATTAAGTGACCCAAATAGAGAAGAATTGAGGGATGTTTTTGCAGTTGCTAATTATCCTGAAAGTTACATTCTCAAATAGGTATAGCTCCAGACACATAGGTTATTCCTGCAAAAAATAAATAAATAAATAAATAAATAAATAAATAAATAAAAAGGTATAGCAAGTGTATTGCTTTAATTTGAAAGTACTATATTAAAACAGTATTTTTTAATATTGCTGGCATAGTTTATAAGTGTGAGAAACTTTTTAGTATGAATAACTCACAAAGAAGGTAAAATTGCACATGCCACTCTTATTAGAAGTAATTTAGTTTTGTTTTGAATTTGAGAGCCATAAAGAGGTTAAATTCATCTGAGTTTAAAAAAAATAATAAAGCAACATTATAATCCACGCAAATTATTTTATAGTTTTGCACTGGTGGAATAGAAAGATATAGCTCTGCCTTGATGGAGTGGGAAGGTTCAAAAATGAAGGAAAGAAAAAAAAATGAGATAGAGAGGGAGACAAACCATAAGAGACTCTTAATCATAGGAAATTGAGGGTTGCTGGAGGGGAAGTGGGTGGAGGGAGGGGGTAACTTGGTGATGTGCATTAAGGAGGGCACTTGATGTAATGAGCACTGGGTGTTACACACAACTGATGAATCACTGATCTCTAACTCTGAAACTAATAATACACTATATGTTAACTGAATTTAAATAATTTTTTTTTAAATGAAGGGTAGGAGGAAGAAAGGAAAGAAACAGACTTGGGTGAGGCTACAGAAGAAGTACAGGAAAGCAAAAGAGAAGATCTGAGCAAAAAGGAGAGGGGAGTAAAAGAGGCTTCTGAAGAACTACATGGATTACATCAAGTTTATCCTCTAACCAGAGCATTTTACAAGGGGACGATGAAGTTTAATGTGTTCCACCCAGGATTTTTTTTATAAAACAAAATAAAATACAAAATATGATACAACATCCCTTGTAGTAAAGAAAATATTGTTTTTGTACATCTACTGTTTCACATATTCCTATGTATGTACTGAATTATAATGCAATTATGACTCTTTACTAAGGATAATTGACAAAAAGATGGAACAGAACTGCTCTATAATAATTACTAGCAGAACAAGTCTGAAAACTATTGCTCAAAAAAATTCAGGATGTTACTGCCTTTTTTAGAGTTAACTAGCTGCCTTGTGGTCGGTGTTCATTTATTTACACATTCACGTACTCTGTTTCTGAACAAGGCTGCCACAAATTTACTAGGGCAATTATTCTGCAAATACCAGTGGCCAAAAGCAGAGAAATATTATCCAATTCATTGGCCAGAGGTTGCCTAACCTGATGCCGTGGTGTGAGGTGCTAGGTCTCCTGATACTACAAATGATCACTTCATCAAGTACAATACCATATATTCTGGCAAAAACAAAAAAACAGTGGTTTATGTGGTCCAAAAGAGACAAAAGTAAAAATCAGAATGACACTTCATACTATTCCACCTGCCACTTTAAAGAGATGAGACAGAAAAGAGATCAAAAGTAAATTAATGTTCTGTGGCAAAATGTAGAATAATCTAATTAAAGACATAGAAATAACCAAAATGCCACTCTCCCAGCATTGTTCTGGGCTGGGGAGACAAACTTCAGAGCAGGTTACCCTGGGTTCAGATCTCAGCCCTTACTAACTTACTAGCTGTGTGTCCTTTGGAAAGTTAAACACTTTGATTCAATTTTAAAGACAGCTAGTTTTGGAGGAAATGAACAGACATTTTTCCAAAGAAGACACACAGATGGCCAATGGACACATGAAAAGATGCTCAATATCACCAATCATCAGAAAAATGCAAATCAAAACCAATGAGAGATTACTTTACACCTGTCAGAATGGTTAAAATAAAAAACACAAGAAATAACAAGTGTTGGTGAGGATGTGGAGAAAAAGGAACCCTTGTGCACTGCTGGTGAGAATGCAAATTGGTACAGCCTCTGTGGAAAATAGTATGGAGGTTCCTCAAAATATTAAAAATAGATCTACCATATGATCCAATAATGCTACTACTGA